AGTGAATTAAAAGCACTGAAAGGCCAGGGCTATAACTCAGTATTTTTTAAGTGCTGAGATTTTGTTGGGGGCGGAGGGAGGGAAGTAGCCACTAATGTAATTTCTAGCAGGAGTACACTCCTCTAATATAATTTGGCCCGGCTACCCTTTCAAACACAGCCTTTCCTCGGCTCAGCTGGTTCAGGGCCATTCTCCTAAATGCCCCAGTAATTACCAATGCAATGAAAGCATGTGCCCAGGTTTTGCTCTGGCCTCATCAGATCTGGAGTGACACCAGCCTTCAGCACAAAGGACCCCAGTTTGCAGCAAAGAGCACGCTGCCGGGCATGTAACTGAATGCAGTTAATACAGTGGGGTTTTTTTCACTGACCATGTTCAATAAAGGTACAAAATGACTCATTTGCTTAGGATTTGTTCCTTTTTTCTCTTTGATTGAGGTTTGGCAATGCTCAGACAGTCTGCAAGTTGCACAGTCCCTTACCAGATCAATAAGCATCAGTTGCTCTGAACCAGATTCCTGATCCAAATTTTACATTCACTATTTGTCAGCTTCAGTCTGTCTTTCTGCCAGCACCTTATGTGTCCTGTAGCAGAGTTCCATAGCCCGTTTCTGGGTGCTTGCCAGGCAGGAGAAAGCTTTAGGCAAAAGGGATCCGAGGAAGAACTTGAAAGTCTGTCACAAAGTGCTCTCTGTTGCCTCACCCTTTATGAATTGAAACGAGTCTTCTGACAACTCTTTAAAGATCTTCTTGTGGCATTGCCTTGCCTGCACCATACACTTGAGTGTATCATCATCAAAGAATCACAGCACAGTACTGGTTTACTTCTCTTGGCTTTATTTTGGTCTTCTGTTTTTTAATACATGCCCTGATTGTATGTGGCAGCAGAGTGCCAAAGTTACTGAATTATCCCCAAAAGCAGCTAACTGGGGACTTATTAGTGTTTTATTACTCATAAACAGCTGATGCTGAAGGACAGTGCCTGTTCTGAGGGACTCGCAGTTTGAGGATAACGACTAATCCCTTTTCCCCTCATCCAAATCAGTAGGAAGGAAATGAGAATTGCACCACATGATTTTTAGAGACATTGAGGTTTGCTTTTCTAAGAAGCTGTCCTTTGAGAAAGTAAGAACTGTGGCCAAGGGGCTTTGCTGTGAAATTAGTGGGGCTGCAACATGTGGAAGATATTAGAAAAGGGACAGTGAGAGAGGCTGAAAAAGAAGCCGATGAAACCCAGTGCCTGCAGAGCAGCAAGGGCGTTGCAGGGTTTTGGAGGGGCTACAAAGGTTAGAAACTTTGGTGCTGTTAATGGAAACCGTGGGAACAAAGGAAGGGGGAGATGAGCTGCATGACCAGATGTATAGGCAAGGATGGGGCTGGAAGCTACACTTTTGAATGATTTGAAATTAAGAGAGCCATGAGGTAGGCATTTGGAAAGCCAGAGAGGCCAGTGTCACAGAAGCTGAGCTTTTAGAAAGGACAGGCAGAAAACACACTGCCCTAAAGACTCATTCATTCTCTGGTAATCAATACACTTCCATTTCCCTGGGGGCAGACAGCGGTGCCCTTCTCTGGGATGCCCTGTCCTACACAAAAAACCTTGGCAGGAGACACTTGCCAGCTGCTACTTCAAGGCAGGAGCCTCTTCCCAAAGCCTGTGTGCTGGCTGCTGGAAGTGAACGAACCCATGGTGCCAACATTGCTGCTCCCATCGTCCATCGCCACCCGACACTGTGGCTTTCTGATTTACAGACATCAGCTCAGCCTCTGGCAGGAGTTACAAACCACCCACTGCATTATGAGGCAGCAGGAGGAGATAATCCCCCAAACCGCAGGCCAAAGCCTTATTAAAAGTAGTCCACGTGAC